TCTTTCTCCTTCCAAACCGGGTGTGTAGTGGATTTCTCCTCGAGAGTGGGGAGCGGGGACGTAGGCCAGAGGGCCGAACCTCGTTAACACATCGCGCGTCAAGGATAACGAACTCCTAACCCTATCTCTCTTACTTTTATCGCATTTTTGTTTTGTGGTTTGCTTGTGTTTGATTTTTATTGCATATTAGAGCCTCTTGACCCTAATCACCCCCCCTCTAGGGTCCAACAATTGGTATCAGAGTTTGGTCTCTATATCAGTTTTTGGTTTAACAACCTTAGAGAAAAGATCCAATGGAGGCTTCTTTGAATATGCATATGTTAGAAGGACAATCCACCACTAGACCACCACTCTTCACAGGGACTAATTTTGCTTATTAGAAGGCTAGAATGAGAATTTACCTTCGTTGCATTGATCTTGACATCCTAGGGCTTATAGAAAAGAAATATGTAGAGAAGTCCAAAGTTGAGAACATGTCCGATGATGAAAGGCACCTTGCCAATCTCAATGCTAAGGCCATGAACGCCTTAATCTGTGGTCTTTCCCCCAATGAATACAATAGGGTTTCCACGTGTGCAACCGCATACGAAATTTGGCAAAAATTATGTGTCACACATGAAGGAACACCCCAAGTTAAGGAATCTAAGATTAGTGGACTCATGCATGATTATGAGCTATTTAAAATGCTTCCTAATGAATCCATTGATGCTATGTTTTCCCGTTTTACTAATATCATCAATGAATTACATGGTCTAGATAAGCAATTATCCATTCAAGAGATGAACTACAAGATACTTCGCTCATTGACTCCGGCATGGGAGCCCAAGGCTACGGCCATTGAGGAAGCTCATGACCTCACTACCTTAGCTCTTGATAGCCTCATCGGAAAGCTCAAAGTGCATGAGAAGAAGCTCAAGGGGAAGGAGAAGGAGGAAGTGCCATCACGAGAAGTTGAGGAGCCGTCACCAAAGTTGAAGACCATAGCTCTCAAAGGAGCTAGTGACAACTCATCTTCGTCGTCGGAGAGTGAAGTTGATTTTTCTAGAGAAGTGGCTCATCTCTCTAGAAGAATCTCTAGACTTATAAAAATGAACAAAAAATTTAACCCTCGATCTAACAACAAGTTTTCCTCTCGTGTAGGTAAATGTTTTGAGTGCAATGAACCGGGTCACATCGCTAAGGATTGCCCCAAGCTCAAAGAAAAGTACATGAAGTACAAGAAGAAGAAGGCTATGTATGCCGGATGGGAAGAATCCGAACCAAGTGACTCGGATAGTGATGAAGAAGGAGCCAAACTTGCTCTTCATGACCCAAATGTTTGTTTCATGGCAAATGAACATGAGGTAATATCCGAGGCCGAAAGTGAATCTTTTTATATGCAATGTGACATAGCTATGGCTTTAGAAGAGTTGAACTTTGAATTTAAAAGAATGTCTAAAGAATACTCTTCTTTTAAAAAATTGCATGCCTCTTGTGATATTAAGCTAGAACAACTAACAACCTCTCTTGCTCTTAAAGATGAATTGCTAGGAGATCTCGATTTCGAGAATAAGCAATTAAGATCAAAGATTGAAAGATTAGAAATTGAGGGTTGTAGGACTAGACCCACTCATGCTTATGCCAACTACAATCACCATGGTAGAAATAGGTTTCGTGGTTCTAACATTCGTACATACAAAAGAAATTTTGTATGCACCTATTGTATGAGACATGGACACATTTCTACTCATTGTAGAATTAAAGACAATGAAGATTTTTATGGTTTGATATGGGTACCCAAAGGTACCAAGACTACTAACCACCAAGGACCCAAGACATGGGTACCTAAAGCTACTACACCTTCATCTTCTTCTTTTGTAGGGAACGTCACGGCAACGACGTAAGGAGATGTGGTACCTTGATAGTGGTTGCTCACATCATATGACGGGCAACAAAGAGTTATTTGCAACCCTATCAAGGATTGAAGGAGGCAATGTCTCCTTCGGTGGAGGTGAGAAAGGCAAAATCGTTGGTATTGGCTCCCTTGGTAAGAAACCTTCACCCATAATAGAAGATGTTTATTTAGTAAGTGGTTTGAATCATAATCTTCTTAGCATTAGCCAATTAAGTGATAAAGGTTTTGATATTTCCTTTAAACCGGATAAATGCATCATTAGTATGGATGGAAAAATTGTTTTTATTGCTAATCGCAAATCTAATGTATACCTCTTTGAGATGAATGAGTTAGTAAATCAAGATGTGAAGTGTCTTGCGGCAATTGATGAAAATCCTTGGATTTGGCACAAGAGACTTGGACATGCAAATATGGAGTTAATATCAAAATTGTCTAAGAAGAATCTTGTGAAAGGGCTACCTAGCTTGCACTTCATAAAAGATACAATTTGTGAGGATTGTGCCAAAGGTAAACAAACAAAATCTTCTTTCAAATCCATCCATGAGGTATCGACTTCTAAACCCTTGCAATTACTTCATCTTGATTTATTTGGTCCTATGTGTGTTACCTCTCTTGGAGGCAAACACTATGTTTTTATGATTATTGATGATTTTTCTCGTTATACATGGATAATATTTCTTGCAAAGAAAAATGATTGTTTTGAAGAATTTGCTAATCATGTCAAAAGAATTAAAAATGAAAAAGATTTGAAAGTTGTTAAAATAAGAAGTGATCATGGTGGTGAATTTCAAAATGAATTTTTCTATGATTTTTGTGCTCATCATGGTATTACTCATATGTTTTCCGCTCCTAGAACACCACAACAAAATGGTGTTGTTGAACGGAAAAATCGCACCATACAAGAGATGGCACGTACTATGTTAAACTCATTTGATTTACCAAAATATTTTTGGGCGGAAGCCGTCAATACGGCTTGCCATGTTTTTAATCGTGTTTTGATTAGACCAAAGCTTAAGAAAACTCCTTATGAACTTTATTATGGAAAAACTCCCTTCATTGTTATTTTCGTGTCTTCGGGTGCAAATGTTTTATTTTAAATACAAAAGATCACCATGACAAATTTGATTCCAAAATTGATGTTGGTATTTTCTTAGGTTATGCACCTCGAAGTAAGGCTTATAGGGTCTTCAATAAACGAAGCCTCGTTGTTGAAGAATCTATAAACGTTACTTTTGATGAGACTAATGTTGGCTCTCAAGTTGTTTTGCCTAGGAAAGATGATGATGATGATATTGAGGGAGGATTGGACTTGTTGCAAATCAATGATACTCCCTCTATAGAATCTCAAAAGGATGTAGATAGCACCAATGCTCAAGAATAAGTAGAACCACCTAAAGCTTGGAAATTCACATCAAACCATCCAAAGGAATAAATCATTGGGAGTCCTTCAAAAGGAGTTATTACTCGCTCAAAAGCCTTGAGTGAGTATGGTAATGTTG